TATGAGTGTGTGTGTGTGTGTTTTTTGCGTGCGTGTGTTTTGCGTGTGTTTATATATTATATAAATGTGTGTGTGTATGTGTGTGTGCGCGCGCGCACGCGCGCGCGCGCGCGTGTGTGTGTGTGTGTGTGTGTGTGTGTTTGTGTGAGTGAGCATAGTGAGGGGCTGTGCTAAGTACTCATTTGCAGTTTTGATTTATGGAGGGGGGCAGGTACAACTTTCTACCGAAGAGTTAGTTTTAGTAGAGTTTTCTTACGGCGCTCGCAACTGCATAAGGTCATATGAGCGACAGAAGATTAGAGGTGTTACAAGAGAAGAAACAAACATCAAAAAGAAGAAGGGTAGATAAGGACAATGGATGTTTGATAGGAAAGAAGAAGCAAACCACACTAGAGCACCCGCCAACCACCCATAACCAATGTTTAATAACGAACGCCCCTTAAGGAATTCGAACCAGAACCATCAGCGCGGTGGTAGTCCAGCATGATACCAACTGAACTAACCAGGCTTATGGCTTGACCAGTACACACATAGTGTAGCAATGATTTAGGTCAGAGGACTCTCGTGGCCTAGAGGTTAAGGTGTGGGCCTCTCATTCAAAGGTCCCTGGTGCGAATTCGGGCAGCAACCGAAACATTTTCTTCTCTAAAAATTGTCTCCTTTCATCTCCTTTCCTGCTCTCTAGCAATGTTCTGTTGTCTGCTTTCGTCTCCACTTTCTGCCCCCACCCCTTCACCTCCTTTGCCCCCTTCCTCTGGGCTCCTGACTCTTTCTGCAGCGTTTTCTACTACCACTCATTCTTACTGCTGTCTTTCAGCCACACCTCTGATCTTCTGGTAGGAAAGATCTACACCCAGCCTTCTCGGACAAGGGCGAAAAATCTCGGAGGGCTCGTGCGCACGTTAAAGATCCCTTGGTTGTCTAAAATCGATAAGAGTAGGCTTTGGCGCCACCCGGGCAGAATTCAAAATTTCTTAATAACTGCAAAATGTTTGTGTCCCGCTCGCTCATATGACCTTATGCAGTTGCGAGCGCCATAAAACACTTACTGAAAAAATAAAAATAAAAGAAAAACCAACACCAGGACCACCAGATCGGTCGTAGCCCAGCATGATACCAACTGAACTAACGGGGGCACCCAGGCTTACGGCTTGACCAGTACATACATTGTGCGGCAAAGATTAACGTTAGCCTGTCACATCATAAGTTCCACCATCGTATAACACTCACACTGCAGCAGATGTCGCTACACCACAGCCAATCATAGAACGAGCTGACAGCAGGAGCAAACACCCCAAACGATGGCACCTGCATTATTATTATTTTTGGTCTCGTGAACTTTTAAGTTCTATTTTTATTGTGAGTTTTGTTATATTTGCGCGCAGCTTTAAACAAAGGGAGAGGGTGGGGGGGTATGTGCGTGGGAGGTGGATGTTGTTGTGGAGCAGGGTGTTTGGGATAGGGTGGAAAGGGAATGTTGGGGGGGGGGAGGAAGGGTAGATGAGTACGAAGTTGAATTCGCACTAAATAGGTAGTAATTCTCACATTATTATATTATTATTCATTCTTCCACTGTTCCATACATTTAAGTCGTTCATGATTACAACTGCTGTTGGTTTGTATACTATATTTTTAAAATTCTTTCAAAAATCACGTTTTTGTTAACCAATTTTCCTATCCGTACGTCGTGTTTTACTACCGTTTCTATACGACTTGGGAACCACATTCTAAAGAGAAAATTTACTCGTTAATCCGATCCACACGCTTTGCATAGCAGTCTGTCAAAATGATTTTTTAAGAAATACTGAAAGTTTCAAAGCGATCTTCGTACTATAAGTATTCTAAAAATATGAAGAATACAACCACGTGGATACAAAATGACCCCACGGAGTACGGATAGGGTTAAAAAGATATTATGGGAATGGTATCTTTATTAACAGAAACAGATTGAGACAAAAAAAAGGGATAGAGAGAACCCTTAATATGGATATGTAAATTGCATCCGAAAGTACACGCCTCAGTATACACATATATGTGTATGTTGTGTGCGTGTGTGCATGGGTGTTTGTGTGTATGTGTATGTTTTTGAGTATGTGTATATATGTAGAATATACGTATGTGTGTGTGTGTGTGTGTGTGTGTGTGTGTGTGTGTGTGTGTGTGTGTGTTTGAGTGTGCGTGTTTGTGCACAGTGTCAGTTGATGGGTAATAATCACATACATTACTTGATGTAATAAGAAAAACCACAATTGTATTCATTACATCTTTATGTTTGCTTTCAGGAACGCAATGCCCCCCCTCCCCCTTTTACGCTGCCTGTATCCACTCGTCTCCCTTCAAATGCTGATGGCAGGCAATATCAGGGCCTGTTCTGGAACACGCCAGACTCATTCCAAGAAACAGGTCAAAAATATACAATTGTAAGTTCGACTGCTCATTCACTTGTTATGGGTTTTTGTTTGTTGTTGTTTGTGATTTTTTATCTACACTTTCAAGATCCAACACAAATTAAATGGGTGTTTTGCATGATGTGATATGGGCCAATGACCTTAAACATTGAATGAACTTACCTACTTACGATTGCGACAGAGCAGTCAGTAAGGTCGGACTATAATTAGTATGCTTACTCTTTTCAAAGGCGTGCTCATTGATCTATCGACATGGGGAAAGGTCTATGAAGAAATATACCTGATAGGACAGGAACAATTCTGACTTCTGTCTGACTCTTAATTACCTCGGCCTTACGCAGATATCTGTGCCAGGGCAATTTTCGCCTTTGATTTTCTCAACACTGAAATGCAGAACAGAAATACATGTAATTGAAAGTAAATTTTCACCTTTGATTTGCATAACGTTGACATACAGGTTAGAAATAATTGAAAGTAGAATTAATTTAAAGTAATTCTTAAAAATGTGTTTTGTCTATGTAAAAGTGTACTCTTGGTCTCATACTCTCCCCACCCCACCCCACCCCTCCCGCCCTTGAGCCCTCTTTCAAACTACCTTAATTATTTTTGACGTGTCGGCAGAGTTAATGATTGTCCTGAAAAAGAGCCTTGCGGTAATGGCACCAGTGACATTCCACCCTAGTGAAAAACTTGTACTTAAAAAAATGTTCTTTTTCTCTACAAAACCTTGGCACATGCCACAAGCCGCTCTCAAGGCCAGCATTCCGTTACAAACAGCTTGACAGTAACTTCTCGTGACCGTTCTCCGCGAATTTTTCTCCTTTGCCTTTCCTAATTCTTTGTGCGTCGTAAGTAGCAATTTTGTGTTACGCGTATCGTCCGTCTGTCCACCTTTTCGTCCACCCGGAGTCCTCGGCATTACGGGTATTACATGTACCCGGTCTGTGTCGGCTGGAGGCTGTCACCTCCCCC